GCCCCCCCCCCCCCCCCCCCCCCCCCCCGAAGCCACCCATGTTTTTATATGTGAAGTGTGCTGACAAAATGAGTGCCTTCTCAGATTTTAGACCGACGGAAATAGAAATATCAAATTTATAGGTTGAAGTTTTACAATTTATCAGTATGAAATGATAAAAGACATGTTAAATTTGAAGAGAATGGCATTGGTTCAGAGTCTACAAATATGACCCTTGTGTTGATTTTTGGCTGATATCTCCATTCATGGATTGCGAGAAGTAACTCATTTTGTTAGCACACCTCACATATTTATATAAGGTCAGGGGGCAACCTAAAATCCCCCTTACATAGAAACACGTGAAATACTGATAATTTTGTACTGAAAAATAGCAGCGCATCTCGCGCTCTCTTTCAGATAAAACATTGATATCAAGTATTTAAGTCAATATCAATGGATCGAATGGCCTAGCCGTACGGCCAGCTTCCCAGTCAAGCTGCCCTAAAGTATGGCTCGCCTAGCTGTGCTTAGGTTAGGCCCTATTGACCGAAACCCGTTCAGTACACAGGTCTCATTAGATCTAGTAATTTTTCAGGTTTAAAATAATTGCATGTCAGTAAGGCACCTTTTACACTTTTAGTTTCGTCTGAAATACTAAATACTTTAGGTATTGCAGACTAAAATTTTATTTCCAACAATTCAGCCATCATTATACTTGTACGGTTAGCCTGTCAGTCTAGTCGTACTTAGGCTCGCTTAGGCCCTATTGACTGAAACCTGTTGAGCACACAGGTCTCAGTAATTATTCAGGTTTAAAATACGTAATGCACCTTTCGGTTTTGTTTTAGTTTGTTTTACAGCACTTGCAACCAATAAGGTCATATTATAAGTGCCGAAGATTAGAGGTGTTAACGAGAGAAATAGTTTTCGTAAGCGTTTTACGGCACTTGCAATACAATAAGGTCATATATAGATCTAAGTGCCAAAGAATAGATGTAAGAGAGTAACAAACACAAAAAGAAGGAGGGGAGATAAAGACGATAAATGTTTGACTTGATAGGTCAGAAGAAGCAAACCCACTAGTGCACCCGCCAACCACCAACCTTTTTGGTTTCGTTTCAAATACAATACTTTAGGTATTGCATCTTAAAAATTTATATTTACAATTCAGAAGGCCTATTTTTTGCTGTTTGTAAGTCTACCCATCATTATTAAATATGGCTAGCCTAGCCGTTTAGCCGTCATTAAGTACGTCTAGCCTGCCAGTCTAGCCATACTGGTAAGATTGAACTTTGGTGGATCCAACACTGAACAAAGCCACAACTACTTTTGAGCCTCACTGTGCAATGAAATGCCATACAATGGTCCGCTCTTATATGTTATTGTTTTTTTGGATTTATATATATATATATATATATATACTGTGTGTTTTTTAAAATTATTATTCTTTTACAAGCCCACCTGAAACCCCCCACTGTTGTTCGCGTAGCGGTCGATTAGGACCCATGACTGTACAGTCCGTTGTTTGCAGTGTGCATAATATATATATAAACACGGTGGGTCCACCAAAGTTTTAAATCCAGTCGCCATACTTAAGTACGGCTAGCCTAGCAGTCTAGCTGTCATTTCGGCTAGTCCCTTCCATCGATGGATATCCAGTACTCTTTGGGCCAAAACCGGAGAATGCCCAAATTTTAGTCTTTTATATTAAAACTAGGCCCAATTATATGAGTCACCCCCCCCCCCACAACCATTAGTAAGGCCTATCTTTGGATTTGACTGGTCTAGATCTAGACCTACATTTCTAGAAAATCTAGATTCACAAAGCAGACTAACAGTACATATTAAACAAGACAAACAAAATTAAAACAGACAAGAATCGACTCGAGATGATACAGACAAGAGTGGAAGAAGTCGAGAGCTGTGGCAATGTCAATTTAGTGAAGGATGTTTAAGTACACGGTAACCGGAACCACCCTCGTTCTTCAGAGAAGTATCGTGTTGTGCGACTCGCCGGGTTGTGTGTGTACTGCGCCAACTCCGACATTCTCAATGATTCTCCGATATGTGTGTATTGTGTGAGGCCACGTTGTTTGACAATGGCCATTTCAGCTGCCTTTTTTTCTCTATCCAAGTTCATAGTCAAAGACAACCTTGTGCAGATCTTAGGCCAGGGCAAGATCGACGACAAAAAGACTCGAGGCCTCGATCCCAAAACTGAAAAAAGATCGAGGAATCAAGTCCGATTTTCGATTTTGGAAGCTGCTTCAAGTGGGCTGTTTAGAGGCCATGACTTGAACACTGCTAAAAATAGCTCTTAAGATCGAGACCCCGAGTCTTGAACACTGCTAAAAATAGCTCTTAAGATCGAGACCTCGAGTCTTGAACACTGCTAAAAATAGCTCTTAAGATCGAGACCTCGAGTCTTGAACACTGCTAAAAATAGCTCTTAAGATCGAGACCCCGAGTCTTGAACACTGCTAAAAATAGCTCTCAAGATCGAGACCTCGATTCTCGTGTTTGACAGATGTGGCTGGCTAAGCCTGCACGTGTGCGAAGACTAGTTGGCTTTCACGCATTTGTGTGTGTGTATGTCGTATGTGTTTGCATGTGTGTGTCGTGTGTGTTTGCGTGTGTGGGTGTGTGTTCGGGTTTGGGTGTGTGTGTGTGTGTATGTGTGTGTGTGTGTGTGTGTGTGTGTGTGTGTGTTGCCTCCCTTCTATCACTCTTGCCAATGCGTGGGGCACAGGTTCCTTCTCTCTTGCACCCTTTGCTTCCTGATACGTCAAAGCATGCTTTGATGACAAATGTTTTGTTATTGTCGACGTTGTGTTATTGTATGCCAAAATATTATTACAAACAAATCATACAAACAACAGTACTGTGTTTTCCAGCTTATAAAAAAAAGTCTGAAGCTAAAGATCGACGTCCAGACATGATGACTCATTGATACCAACTCAAAATACACAATATGATTTACAAAAGAATACGTGTGAAGATGAAAGTGCAGGGAAATTCAAAAGCAAGCGTTTAATGTTCAAGACAAAAGAAAGAGAAAAGGGAAGTGAATGATTTAATTTGGGATGGGCGGGGGTGGGGCAATAACATTCAAAGTAGCAGTAGCCTATGTGCAGCGTGGTTTCGTACTGGGCTACACGGTAGACACGACAAGTAGGCCTAGGCCTAGTTTAGCATTCACTCATAGCGGGGAAGAGGAAGAGGAAGGTGGGGTGGGGTGGGGGGTTGCGTGAAACAATTGATATAGTGACTGACTGGCAGTTTCTTGCCCCTACTTCAGTAGGCCTACGAAAGTTCGTCCCGGGACAGACCCGTCTGACGTTTGAAACCTTTGAACTTGAGTGTAATGTACCGCACCTATTATTGGGACGTGACATTTTTGTTGCATTGAGTCCCGAGCAGTTGTGAATTGCTACAACATCGGTTGGACAGTATGACCTAATACTGTTTTTTCTCTTTCTCTTTTTTTTAATACATGTATCAAGGCCTAGTGCACGCCAAATTCAAATAGTGAAAAAAACAAAAAACATAAAAGTAAACAAAACTCACAAAAATTAATTTAACTTGGTAATCGGGCTTTAAATTGGGTTCCCCTCGTAATTTTTGCAAATTTTGGGGCGCTGATCACGAAAATCTTATTATTTCTTAAATTAGACCAATATTTAAGAAATTTTTGGAATGCATGTTTAACTCCGCCTAGGCCGACATCAAAGAAGCCGCCATGCGCCGGATCAGTCCTGTCCTGGTGCGGTGTCTGTTTTGAAGCGAAAAACTCGACAGGACTGTAAATAGTGCGGTAGAGATCTAGATTCTTGCCTCGATTCTCAGAGTCTAGGCTAGGAACCAGGCTAAAAAAAAGGAGACGGGAGGCATCGACCCTGGGCGGACTCGAAGCTTAGACTTAGAGTCTCGGAACAAGATCGATTCTTTGAGTCCTCATTTGGACTTGAAAGAATCGATCCCACAGTCGATCTTGCCCTGGCCTAGTAGATCTAGATCTATATCTAGACGCACGACCCCTACAGCGGGACTTTATCGCAATCCATTTTTTAAAAGTAAACTTAATTACTTTGACGCTTTGGTTTAGACGGGCAAGGAAAGTGTCAAACTTGGATACACAGCGGGAGAGATCAAGCGAGCTGTATCTGGGGGAAGGGGGTTGGGCGATCGGGGGCTGAAGGTGGGCACCCAACAGGCAGTCAGCTGTGCGGCGTTGTGATTAGATTAGCCAGTCCAGTGATGAGTGGGCTGGGGCAGGCGGCAGAGAGAGAGGGAAGGCGCGTGATGAGGCGTTACGTGAGCCACTCCAAAATCTAAAGTGGGGGGCGAAGCAGTTACCGTGCCTCGAGCTCAAGGCACCCACGCCAAACTAGATATTAAGTACTTGGTAACCGCGTACGTAGACACAGAGACTAGACTACAAACCCTCCGTGGAGAGTGGAGTGAATGTGCGACAAGAATGGTTTCGTTAAAGAATCTAAATCTATTCTACTAGACTCTACATCTAGGAATTTAGTGGAAATATACGTGTAGATCTAGATCTAGATATTCTAGACATAAAGATCTAGAATCTAGACCTCAATCTATAAAATTAGTAATCTTGAGTCTAGAGATTCTTGACTCTAGGCTAGGCTACCTTACCTTTGACTGTGTCTCCTTTTTTTGTTCCTAAGCCTTAGGCTAAGCCTAAACAGCAGTCTCTAGAGTCTAGATTCTGGTCCTTGTTTTTCCTCGGTGAAGAGTAACGACAGAATGTCTGATAGCGTGCTCTGTCGTGAATCAGCAAATGACATTGGACAAGGCCCCAACAACATCAACAACCATACTAAAGTGTGATTAGATCTACAAACTACTATTCAAATGTAGATCTAGCTTTATCTCTGTAATCTAAGTGTGTACCACTGACCTGTGCCCTTGTGCACTCTTCGATGACGGAAACAAACGACGTTCTGTCAAAGCAAAGACGTATAATACACTATCTAGATGAATTGATAAAAAGGGAAAATTGCCCCTAAGTCAAACAACCGGAAGTAGCGTGTGGTAGGCAGAAAAGGGCGTACATCATAGGGCCTAGTCTATATTTTACCCACGGACCTTAACAACAACAAAAACCTCCTTGATTTTACAATTGCTTACATTGACACTGCTTCTTTTCGAGACGAGTTTGGAAGCATTCTTCGACAGAACACCTTAAAAAACGAAAAGAAAATATGCTAATATAATGCAAGCTTTTACTTTTTGTAAATTTTGATCAACCTATAATTATAAACACATATAAACTAAAACTTAACTTTAAAAAGTAACATCTAGCTCTTTTTAGCGTGAAATGAAAATAAGTTTTAGGATTCCTTAAAAAGAAAATAAAGTTAGCAGCGCTATATATATATATATATATATATATATATAATTGCCAAATATCTCGAACGAGTTGCAGCACTATCAAAGGACGTGTTGGAAAAAAAGCTCTTTAAATTAATTGTCAGCTTAATTTCAAATTCCAGGTCTGAAACAAATAAGCTGAACGTTTCTCCTCTGAACGGATAAAACAAATTTAGATAAGAGAAATAGATAGAAATATCGTCATTTTCATCTCTTTGGTGTATGACCTGAGACTTAATCGTCACTCACAATTTAAAGGGATTCTGGAGTGATGTAATAACTTTTTCACTTAACACGCTAATACTTCAGCGTACAATATAGGTGCTTAGAAACCTAAGTGAGATGGGGAAAAGACTCAGAAGTGTATTATGCCATAAACAGCCCCTCCCCCACCCCACCCCACCCCACCCCACCCCACCCCACCCCACCCCACCCAACCCCACTAATTTTCTGAAACTAGAATAAGGAGGAGCCTATGTAAAATTAAATAGAGAAACCAAAAGTAAGATTACAGTACTGAGTTTATCTAGGCCAGGACTTTGTAGGATCTAAAATCGAAGCAATGTTAAGAGTAAATGGGTTTTTTAAATTGACAATCATACTTTCTTACAAGGATGGCCGTTCCGATTATCATCACAATTAATATACAACGATATTATTAGCAATGTAAACAGTGATACTGCACCTCGCGTCTGTCTCCTGTTGCCTACCAAATTCTTACCGTTTTGGGATTTTCCCAAATGTACTGATATTTGTAATCTCACTACTATTACAATGTTATCTCTATGTTCAAGGTTCGAAGGTTAAAATTAAAAAATCCGTTCAAGATATCTGTGTGTGGGCCAGCACAGGGTCGGCCTATGAGCTCTTACTGTTCAAGAGGTCTTCCAATTATAGTCAATGGGGTCAATATCAAGTGGATAGGAGTTGTGATGACGATAAACTAGCCCAGGACATTTTTACTAAAAGAATTGAGAATGGCTTTGTGAGGGGGAGAGGAAAAAGGGATACACATGTTTAACATGGCTGCTCCAGAATTCTCTTGTTTAAATTTTCATGTGAATAGGCCCTAAGAATTATAATTAATTGACTTTGAACATCCTATGAATAAGCGAGCAGTTTGTATACATTTGTCGTGCCTTTTACGAAGCTCAACAGACCTACTTAAACTAAATAAAAATAAAGTAGAAGACCTTTGTCAATTTTGTAGTCATCTAGATCTAAATCTATTTCCCTTACAACAACAGCGGCAATAATTTAAATAAATGGGCTTAAAGATAATATATTATTGTGATACGGAATAATCAGAAAAGAATAAAGAGTAAATGCCAGAGTGAATGAATGATCGATTAGGCTAAATAAATAGATAAATAAATTAATTAATAAATAAATAAATAGATAAATAAATAAATTAATAAATAAATAAATAGATAAATAAATAGAAGGCCTACATGGAGGCTTCACGCGAAGTTCGCTTTTAACTGCGATCTCGAGATAGCCTACAGTTCAAACGATATTATAATACCATCACTACTTTCACGAGATCTGATTTATCAGTTTATCAATAGGCTTGTCAATAGACTGTATACATACACGGAATAAAAGGGAGAAAAGGGGTGGAGGGTGGGGAATAGTGCACCTTGCGTGTATCTCTCATTTGGGTGAGGATGTTATGTGAAGATCCGATACAGCGGAGTACACAACACATTCAACTAATCGGATCTGCATAATCGGGTCTTGTCGAAAAACCAAACAGATCAGTACACATGATTGAACTTCATGTTGAGCAGGGTAACGTGAACTTTCTGTTCCAGACAACACATTATTTTCTGTTTTTACTTTGTTTTTCATTAGGCTCTATATGTCAGAGCTACTAGATCTAGAGCATTTTACAGTGTGCTTAGTCTAAAAAATTACAGTCTCGACATAATATGGTCTTATTCACACTCGAGCACCATGATACAGTCCCAAAAGCTTTTATCCTTTCTCTCCCCCTCTTTCTATGTTCTTCTGTCCATCTCTCTCTCTCTCTCTCTCTCTCTC